AAACAAGCAAATTAAAAGCATATATATATATATATATATATATATATATATATATATATGAGAAATATGAGTATGTTTGATACCAAGCACAAATTTTGTGCTTGGTAGTGAGGTGGTACAATCCCCTCCAGTACTCATTCAAATGGGGGACCACATTCACATAGGTTGAGAAGTGCATGGGGGATATGCAACCATTTGTTGAATGTCTGGAGGGGATTATGTCACCTCACTACCAAGCACAACGAAACTAACTAGTAAGTTGAGCCATTATTTAGTGAAATTAATTATCAAGAACGCTATATATATATATATATATATATGTACCTGCATTCCCATTGTATTATCTTCACACTCCTTATCATCAATCCGATACTCGTGCATGACCCAATCGGTCCTGATTCCTCGGGGAGCTCGACCCCTGTAATAAACCAGGGTCTTCTTCATGCCAATTGCTCGGTTCTGGCAACGAACCCGGCGATCTTTTCCCGTCGATTTCCAGTACCCGGCTTGGGTGGCCCTGTTGGTTCTGAACCCGTTCGGGTATTTTCGGTCCCTCGGTCCGAAAAAATACCAATCTGGGTCTTTGCTTGGTAAAAATGATTTATCTGAAACATAAGATGTCAAGAGAGAATTAATTATAAGCTTCTCTTGTAGCAAGCCACTAGAATGTATTTAGAGAACAAGATCGAATATGGAACGTCACTTGGTTAGTTGACACGTTAGACGACCAACTAAATGCGGTGGTTAAGAGAATCGACTGAGATGGTTTGACCGATTAGGACTGCTAAATACATCAGTTGGAAGAAATGATAAAATTATGATTAATATGATAAGAATGATCAACTAAAATAGGATTAAGATAATTTGATTGCAAGTAATTAATAATTAACAATATGATAATGGTTAACTTAAAAGAAGACGGATAGACCTTAATTGAGCAAAACAGAATAATATATAGGACTCAGAGACCTATATCGAGCAATTAGACAGTGGCAAGAACATAAAATTTGTGGACCAATAAAATGTTTATCTACATAATTAAGTAAAGACATTTTAAAAGCGCACTTATATCTTGCATCAAAATAATTAAATTTGAACTAAAATTCTAATAAATGATTTTCCCCGAAATATAAAATTTGATACCAAAAAAGAAGCAGTGCTAATTTATCACAATTTTGGATCCTATCCATCTCCCAAAATATTATAGGAAAAAGAAACTAGTTTTAATCATAATTGGTTTTCCCTAGACTTACACTCATGTTCAATTTTAGGCTCAAAATAAATCACAAATTATCCACCAAATAATAGACGATTGTGATTAAAATAAATGCTACTCATGTAATATAAGCATCCGTTATCATGAATCATGATAACTAATTTAGAAATAACTTATATTGATGAACAAAAAGCTAACACGATGAAAAATTTAATTTTTTAAAAAAAAGAACAAACCAGACAATTCCCAAGGTTCACATTTGTAAAGATCAACTTCAGGAATGATATCAAGCTCAATCTTGAGGCCATGGACCTTCCTCTTGAGGTAGTAATTAACAAGCTCCTCGTCCGTCGGATGAAACCTAAACCCCGGCGGTAGGCCGACGGGCGCCATTGATCTCTCTCTCTCTCTCTCTCTGTGCTTCTTGGATCTCCTCCTCTTTGCTTTTCTTTTGATCACACCATAGCTTGTACATATAAAGTGTTGAAGACCCTCTCTTTTGAGTCATTTTCAATATTTGCTTTTTGTTTTTGTAGATTCTCGAACAAACTTCAAGCTTTCTACACTTTCCCTAACCTATATGAATATTAGTATTATATGTGAATATTAGTCTTATTTGTTATCAATATATCTCAAGCTCAAAACCTCCTTTTAAAACGCGGCAATATAGATGTGAAATTGGTGTTTGTTATATACACCTCATCTTTCCTCTGGCATGACAACATTATTTTACACCCGACTAAAAGATAAGACTCAAAACAGCATGACATATTGATTCATGAAATAAATTAGTCTTTTCCTTCTAATCTTTTCTTTTTTATCTTCTGCTAAGATACTCCTCCATGATCTCCTCCTTTCTCTTCATGTATATTCTATATTTATAAATTATCTGATCATCTGATAATTACTTGAAGAAACTAGAACGACTAGTTTTTGTCAGTATTATAATAAAATAATGCTAGTTGAAAATTTTGACCATAATTAATCCGGCTAATTTAAGCTTGACATTTTATTACTGACATGATTATTGTAGTCTCTCTGTAACTATATTTTAGCTCCTAATTATATAAGTAATTAAGAAGCAAAAGTGACAAGTGATTAGATTAATAGCCAGATTTCGTACCTTCCGATATGCTGTTGTATGAAAATTTTGGTATTGTTAATTTAATCATCATTGATTGAAGAAATCGTGAGAGAGAAGGTTTTTTTTTTTTTAAACCTAACTGTCCTTTGCCTTTCTGTGATCTCCTTTACCTGTTTCCACTTCTATCACTCGCTCTATTTATCATGAAATCATCAGAACTAATTAACCAAGAAATATTTTCAGTGCATATAAACTCCAGAATTTTATCATACTTTTTTGAAACTGATATTGTACAGAGGAACAAAAGAAGAAAAAAGGAGAAGACAGCAAGATTCTGTATGTGACTTTAAGTAAGTCATAATTACTAACATATGATCCATCTTGTGCTAGCTACGTGAAGTCAATGGAACATCAAATGAAACGAAACATTCATTTCAGTTTTCAGCCAATATTCAATTCAATCAACATTCTCAATTCAATACCACTCGATGCATTCATTCCCAAAGAACGAGGAGGAGGGGGCGAAATACACTTCAAGAACATATCGACAACTCTAAAATAACTTACAATCCTCGTGGAAAAAGAAAAACAAACAAACAAACAACAAGCTGCAAAAAAGGAACATATACATTGCTACCCACAAATCTCACGTTCATCCAACTACCTAGGAAATATACCCGAAAAGTTGGGTAACTTGTCGACATGCTTCAACGCTCGCTCTGCGATCTGTTTCGTTCGATAATCACCATGTCTAAAGGCTTCTACTAAAGCCGTACCCACATTTTGATCCGCCGAAATCTCACAAGCTATGTCCTCTATTCTTAATATCCTTTCGACCGCCCAAACTGCCCGTTGCCTGAGAATCTCCGTTTTGTTTTCAAGCAGCACCTGCAATATCTGTCTAATCCCATCAGCATCACAAAGCACCATAACACCCTGTTCAACATCCACATCATCTTCCAACAGAGTGCAGAGTGCTGCTATTGCGGCCTCAACAACCTTCACATTTTCATGGTCTAAACAAGCAACCAGTTTCTCCACTGCTTTCCCTTGCAAGAGGCAGAAGGTTTCCTTCACTGAACAAATTCCATGGTGAACCTTGCAAAGCCCTGTTACTGCTGGTGGCTTACTGAAACAAGGGAATATAGCCCCACAGAGTCCAGGCTCCGGAGGGTCGGGGATTTTCGTTAGGCGTTTTGATTGCTGAGAGAGGTTCTCTAATGCGAAAGCAGAAACCATTTGTACGTTATCCAGCCCGTTCATTTGAAGTAGATCAGTAAATACTGCAGTGAGATTATGCTCACGGGCCAGAGCGATGATATCAGGCTCATCATCTAAAATATAGGTCAGCCTTGAGAGAACTCTGACAAGCCCCTCGAGATAAGGAGTAAAAAATCTGCTTCCTCGAGTTTCTCCTTGTCTAATACTGAGCACCTTGGAGATGACCACGCTGAAAGCCCCTTCAACTAGAAGTCTTTTAGTGAGAACTGAGTCCCTCTCAGGTAAATCAGCTAAGAGTCCCATAGCAGCTGCTTGTTCTTCAGAGACGCCATTGTTCTCTGATATCACTCTAATCAAGCTACCGAGCTGGCCAGCAGTAGCTTTAAGGGCGTCTGCTAGTTCTTGACCCATGTAAGGAGAAATATTGTGTAGAAGTTTTATGGACGCCACTCGAAGATCTCGCTGTGGAGCCTCCACAAACTGGATTAGACTGATGGTAGCACCAGAGCTCTTGATGGCAGAAACTATGTTCACTACTGTAGACGGTGAGCTTGTGAGCCCCACTAGGACCTGAAGCAGCTTGCCCTCGATTGCTGGGCCAGTATTGCTGATGAGATGTAAAAGGTTGTGTACAACATCCTCAGAAACAAGAGTTTGGCGATCATAATCAAGTGGGATCGATTCAAAATCAGCACCGGAAGAGACTACGTTGGCGAGAATATTTGCCGAAAGCTCTTTTAGCCTCATAGGTAGCTGCTTGATGCCGACACTGAAGAGGTCTTTTACTAGTGGTGGAAGGATCCCAGCTTGGATCAGTATCTTGGCGCTCGACTCGTATGATGAGATCTGGTTCAGGGCCTTGAGAGCAGCTTCTCTTGCCTCGATGCTCCCACTCCTCATAACATCGACCAGAGCTGAACCGGCTGTTTGGGCCACAAAGACTTTCACATCATTGCTTAAGACAAGCTCACCAAGATATGAAGCCATTGACAACTGAGTTTCAGGCGAGCCTAAGAGAATTGAATAAGCTATGGAGTTAGATAAAGAGATCTAAAAGAAAGGATTAATAGTGTACCAAATCAGCAAGAAAAAGATGCCTCCCTCTCAGGGATAAGAGACTTGAATGAGCGAACATGAGTAACTATGGATCGTGAGACAAATGCACGCAGTTACAACTAACTTGCAAAAGAATCAAGAATAAGAGCACAGAAAAAACTTTAACGCAAAAACAGAAAGCAGAAAGAAATTAAGTAAGAAGCACCTTCAAGTATCAAGGTAAGGAGAGGCTGCAATCTGCCACTTTCAGCCATCTGCCTCACATTGCTCGCACATTTCTCCAAATTCTCTAATGTCTTTTCTGCTTGCTCAACAGTCAAAATATTTTCTGATTTGCTACTTGACATTCCAACTAATATAAGAATTGCTCCACTGATTCCACCAATCTTTTCACAGAGAGCCTCACACTTCGAAAGCTCATATAATAAAGATACAGCTTCCTCCCTCTCCTGAGAATGGTCATGTGACAGGAACTTCACAATAGTGCGAGCGGAGTCCCCTGCAGCAATAATCTCCTGCAATACAAAACTAATTGGCATAAGCCTTCAACAGAAAGCAGAATGAAAAGGACGAATAAAATTTCCAAAGAAAAAAAAAAGCAAACCTCTGACAACCTTATTGTCATTATCCTCTTCAGCAACTATTCGAAGAGTTCCCAATGCTTTACATCGCACTTTCCTGCTGGTATTCTTCAACATTTCAGCAATAGCTGGTATTAGTTCTGCATTCCTCACAATATGCTTGTTGGACCTGCTCTTCTGACAAAAGACTGAAATATAATTTAGAGCCTGAAGAATATCACTTTCTGAGCCTCCAGGAGCAAGGGATCTACAAGCAATTTCTAGCTGAGCAGCTTCATTCCTTTGGATCCACTCTTCTATTGTATTCCGAAGAGCTATACTCGGGTTAAGTTCAGTGCTACTCAGTTCCTTCAGAGTCAATGGGCAAATGAGCTTTCTTCTACTTTCCCTGCACTCCTTGAACCACTTTTCAATTGCCTCTCGCTCAAAAGTCTGTCCATTCTCTATGGTAACAGGATCTTGCATAACTTTCTTTGTGAGCGGGCAGACAAATGACTCATAGATAGGTTCCATGCGTAACTTTTCATAGTAGCTCTCATCAGAATGGCTACCAGTATCATAATGTTCCTCCCAGCCTTCAGCCATCTCTAAAAGGGGGGGAAAAGATCTACAGCATTTACAGTTATGAGGCAGTTACACTTCCATCCCTAATATTGATCAAGTTCAAATAAATTAGAATAAGAAGGTGTCAAACTATACAAACTAACAGTCTATTCTTTTATTCGTAGATTCTGATTATACTAAAGTATCATAAGCATGATACAAACTCAGCATTGACAGACATGGAACCAGTCCTTTATCTGCTTAAACCAAAGCAGCAAAGGTAGACCAGCACTTCCTTGCATAAACAGACTTATACATCACACACGTGTGCCTACCTTTCCCCCTTGTGCACTTTCTGTAGCCAAACATTTACCTACATTTTTATGACTAATAAAGAAAGGATATATGCTGAAAGGAATGGAAAGGTATACATGAAAAAGGCTCTTATCTAAATTATGTCATAAACTTATCTAAATTATGTCATAAACAATCTACAATAACTGACATTATTTGTTTATTAATTTACCTGATATATGATATCCAAGGTTCTCTAGATTGAAACGGTGATATCAGACTCGGATAACATTTCCAAAATGAAACTGCAACAGCCTGAACCCAAAGGTAAAAACTAAGGTAATCAAGGCTCCCTTTAGACCTTAGCAATTAAGACCTAAGAGCCTGTCTATCCTTCCTTCACAAATATCAACTCATTTTAGTGGTCATGCTGATACCATGTACTGTTATTCCATGTACCTCAGCTTGCATACTAAGAAACCTATTATTTTGATCATGGTCATTGTCATAGCTAGGGTTTCTACCTCAGTTTAAATTATAATACCCAGGATGAAGTCGATTGACATTCCTGCAAACAGGGTCTGAAGTAACTATATACATTGTCCTGATTAAGATAATATTGGCTTTCAAGATCATTATAATCACATAAGCAATTGTGGCTCCATGGTGATAAAAAGAATGCATCAAAGAAATCAACCATAATATTCAAGGTACAGGATCTCTAGAAAGGAGAATTTAGAACTTTTGGGATGTTGAAACCAAGAATACCCATTATTCCTGCAAACATGGCTTCCATGATTTGATTGAAGTCTAGATCAAGTTGCCATATCAGACTTATCTATACACAATCAAGAGTTTGGGAATGAATTAGGGTCCAGACTGCACGTGTTGGAGGAACTAGAGCACACATGTTGAAGTTTACAATGCAAGAAAAGAAAGGGTCAAGCAATTCAAAATATTAGTAACATCCACATCCATGTCAAAAGAACTAGAACATGTACAGGACATCATAAATATGCCTTAAACAAATGAGTAGACCGCCACCGTAAGATTTCTTCAACAAAAGATGAGGACTATATAGGGGAATGGAATTTCTAAAAAGTTGGCGGGAAATAAGACTGTATTTATTTTATCTTATATTCAACCAAGATTTGAGGTAAACATAAAAGAATTTCAAGAGCACGTTGAAGAGTGAAATGCATGCAGCCTCACGGATGTGGAAATGCTAGCTTGGGATGTTCAGGTTTGGACAGTCAGCTCAAAGCACAAAAAGAATACAAGATACCCTTCATTTGTACAGTGTTGTTGAAACCATGCCACAGGATGGTCGGACAGGGTCCAACCAAAAGCTACTTCTATGCCGGTCCAATTCTATAAAGTACCAAAATATGCCTGAAAATTAGTAAATTGACCAATGCACGTATAATCCAGCTAAACCTTACTGACCTGATTCAAATGAAGTGGCTGCTTGTGTAAACACAGTTACCTTTGTAAAACAAAAGGTTAATGGATGTGTGGAAATGCACCCATGCATGTGTGCATGGATGAATGTGCATGTGTTATAGATAAACATATGAAAGATGTCTCATTTACCTGTAAAATGGTCTAACCAATAGGAACCAACATGACCGTATAAAAGCAAATAACACAACCCTATAAAACCAATTATAGATATTAGATATCTATATTTGGTGGATACGTATGCAGATGCAAAAATGTGTTTATATTACTGGTCAAATACAAGTATTAATGCAGACATCTGGATATATGTATCAATCAAATGTTGAAATTATTTTGGTCTAAGATTAACAGATCTAAAAATATTTTTGGTGATTGAGAGGTCTAGCCCCTGGCTTTTAGGTGTTCCTGTTCCAAATACGTCGATGGGCTCTTGTTTTATTATGTAGTTTTTACATCGCATAACCCATATAATTTTTAGCTTTAATTGTTTCTTTCATATCTGTTGTATCTATGTTTGTTTTCCTCTCAAACCATTTGCTTCTGGCTGTGCTGCTGGCGGATATGGACATAGATGTCCTCACTGAACTATATCCATACTTGTTATCCATACATGTGACTAGTCAATGGGTACCAATAAGGCAAATGTTATATATGATCTCTTTCAAATATGTTGCATCGCTATTCCAAATCCCTAGTAAGAGTACATTCTGGTTTACCTAATATCCTGCTATGCAACTAGGTTGGTTAAAAATAAAATGTTCATATTCACCCACTTACTTGTTTATGCAAATGGATATGCATACTTGCATAGTAATAAAAGTTAAAAATATAGTATCAAACTTCATTTGCTTCATTATCTATATTATACAGATTCAATTTTATTTTGCCTTTGAGCATCTACTTTTCCTTGATGTTGTTCTTTGCTAACGTATAAAGCTACAGAACATGCTATCTCATTTTTTCTTTCACTAAAATAACACTTGTATGGTGCATGGTTGTAGGAACAGGGATATTAGGTCACTGAAACCTTGAACTAAAGCAAATTTGATAGAGCATTTTAGGAGGAAAAAAAGAAGTTTTCAAGAGTGTACAATATGAAAGTACTGAAGACATCTATAATTTGTTTACCCTACAGAGTATAGAAAATTTTTGTGCTTCTCTGTTACAGTGTGGTAAATTTAGTTTCTACATGATAAAGTAAGTGTCAAAGATAGTATTTAGTGTAAAGAGTTACAACATTCTAGTGTAAAGAGTTACAATATTCTAACTTTCTACCTGTCACCAATCATAGTCTTGCATCCAATCATGTAACAGTGGTTTGTGAATGATTATGCTTGGAACCAACTCGCTAATAGGGATTCCCCCTTTGGGTTGCTTTGTGCGCATTGCCAATTAGCTTATTTGCAATATCAAGGGGTCATTAATGTCAAAGATTAATATTAAAGTAAGGTGGTCTGTCCCTCATCTATAAAACACGACATAGTACAAAAGATTTGTAAAAGATATTTGGCATAAAGTGAAAAAATTAGAGTTAAGATTATAAAAAACATGGAGATAGAAACAATGGTAGTCAAGCCAAGAGGGAATACAAAGTGAACTCAGGGTACTAGAGGAAAACTACAGTCGATGGTACTTGAAGTACAACTTTTTTTAGTGTCTTGTGAGAGCCAAGATGAAGTCTTTTCGAGATCAAAATAACTGAGCATTTGAGGGCATGATACAAAATAAATTTTTTACTCCCACATCAACCAAAGAGAAAGCTTTATAATTGCTTTAAACAAGTGAAACTATGGCAGGGGTCTATTTTGGTCAATCGCATGCTCCAAGTAGATTAGTTACTCTATCAAGTAAATATGCCACTGCTTTAAACAAAGATGGGTTCAAGTTGTGCCCATTTTATCTCCAAAATACATGATGCTACAAGAGATATATTAAAAGTAAGCAATCCCCAACAAAGTTGAGGTAATGAAGAAAATTTATGAATCAGTTCAAAGACAAGGTGGTAGTGAAGCCATGAGGTCTAATGATGAAGTTAAAATATTAGAGCTATGGTTCAGGCTAACTACAGAGACTGGAGTATATATCCAAGTAACTTTAGAGCTTGGGCATAGATTCAAAGTGGTCTCGATAGGTATGAGAAGACGTGACCTTTTTGAGTTTACTTGTCTTGAATCCAATAGAGTAATAAAATGGGTATACAAGATAGGTCTTATCAGGTAAAGAGAAAATGACTAATTGATTAAAATAAATTGTAGTCAAAACTTGAGTCCTCAGGGTCTTCTGAGTTCAAACCGTTTTACCACTCCACTATGGTAACCAGTATTTGTAAAGCTATTCAAAGAAACTAATAAGTCTTCTTCATAACTTTACGCAGTAGACAATCAAATTAAGTCTACTTGTGGTTCTAATTCCAATCCAACCACCAATCAATTTTTTTTATGTCTCGGAGCATCCTCACCTCAGTAGGCTACTACGGCACATCCTAATCGTAATATAGAAGGCCATATAAAGCCCGCTTTCATCAATTAGATGACCAAAGATTTTCGAATCCAAAGGTGTGCCTAGGAGAGACAAAATCTATCACCGCTACTATATGACATGCTAACATGCATACATTTTTCGCCTATGCTGGTCCTTAGCCTATACGAAGGACAACTATCGTCCAATTAAAGGGAGCTACTAACGATATTCCGATCGCCTTTCCACCGAACTCGCATTTGCTACTCTTCTCTTCAATGTAACCGCTGAATCAGCCAACGCCGAAAAACTCATCCTTTCAAGATAGCAAAAACAGGACCTTTTTATCTACACGTTGTGAGAAATATATCAACATCCTACAGATACCAGACCTAATTATAGACAAACACAGAAATGAGACCACTCCCCATGAGAGATTGCATTTATTAACAAACAAAAAGGAGCCACCTTTAACGGGAAATCTCACGTCACCGAAGGGTCAAATCAATTCAAAGATCCATTTCTAGGTCTACCGCACAAAACAGCCCCAATTATAGGAAGAAAAAAAACCCCACAGAAATTAAAGAGGAAAAGGTCTGAAACCTTACCAATTGGGGGAACCGATTCCTCTTCGTCAAGATCTCTTTACCCGCTCTCTGAGAAACCCTAGGTTTTGACAGCGCATGCTCCCACGGCCAGCGGAGAAATCACAGCCCGGTTCAATTCGATCCTTGAATTCGAGGATCGGTTGAACAATCAAACGATTGGTTGAAACTTGAGAGAGGGATCGAGATCGATGGGGACGAAAGAGGGAGGAAACTGGAGAATTTTGCTGCGGATTGACTCGAAGCAACAAAAAAAAAAATTAAGGGGAAGAACGAGGAAGAGGGTACAGTACAGACGTCAGCGAGCCGATGACTGTTTTAGTAGAGAGAAGTCAAGAAAAGTTTGCAGCTTTATTTTCACTGTTGGCTACACTTTTCTTTTGGCTAAATATAATGATACACCCCTTAACTTTGGATAGTTACCAGAAACCCCCCTTTTTTTAAAGTGAATTCACGTTGTAATCTTTAAGCATAGATTTAGACTGATTTTTCTTCCTCTTCTTCTTCTTCTTTTTTTTTTTTTTAAATGAGACATATGAAGAAAGAGTTTATAATCATTTGATGTGTTAGTTTGATACTATTAGTTCAAATTAATGAATTCACATTGAACTCTAATATTTAAGTTCATCACACTACTTTCGTACATCATACATCTCTAAACATTTCTCTATATTCTCTACACTCCTCATTTATTAACTTGGAGCCCGTTTAGATGACAAATTGTATCGTAAGTAAATAAGAAGTAGATGAAAAAATAGCTCTAAAACTATGAAATAAAAGGTAATAGAAGTATTACTTTTAGAATGATACTTCTTTTACTTCTTTTATTTTATTTTTTATTTTTTTTTTTGTTTGGATAATCATCAAAAATATTGTTAGGAAGTAATCAATACATGCTAGAACACTGAGATTACCTTCCTTTATCATAATACCCTAATCAATATCATAACATTCTAACAAATATTATAGCATATTAAATTGAATTACGAAAATTTATTATACTTTATAGCGTATTGACATGAACTTTCTATTTTTATTTTTATTTTAATGTTGGGATTCTGTTGCTGTTTGAAGGAGTTCATAATGCGTGGGTTCAAAAATCAAACGAAGTGAAAAAGGGGTTAAGTAACAAATATCAATCATTCTCGCTATTTAAAAGGTGTTATGTGGAAGGGAGATAAAAAAAAAAAAGACCAATGTGAACAATCGGATGAGCAGCGCTCCACCGATTTCACGCAATCACCTCCCCACGTGTGGGCCCCACGCATCCTTCCTCCCCCTTCCGAAGCACTTCGGAGCACGTAGCCGCCAAAAGTCTTTGCGGAAATGAATGTGACAAAATTTTGGAAGCAGAGCAAGTAGTGTTGTTTCAGTAATAAATATGTTTTTTTTTTTACTAAGAGGTAACACTAATAGCATTTAGTTTGTTTACTTTAGCTACTTCTGTAGGGTTGTGTATTTAATTCTATATATAACTTTTTGAAAATTAGATAGGATTAGAGATCTATCATGATTAGAAGTTTGAATCATATTCTAATTAGGAAGTTAGGCTAGAGATAGAGCTTTGGTTTTCAACTATACGTATTATATATATATATATAATATATATATATATAATATATATATATATATATATATATATTATTCTTATTTTTGGAAGTAAAAAACAAGCATATGAGAGAGAGCCAATATTCTTGTAATTTAATATTAGCAGAGGACGTAACTTGATTCAATAATATTATGAGAGAGGCGAGGGTTTTGCAATCTTTGTATGTTCAAAAGATTATAAGGAGAGGTCTTTGGAGATAATATGATGTAGGACGCTTAATCTGAGTTGGAGTCTATTTAGATTAGGAAATATAGATTATGAAATAAATTCAATTTTAGAGTCAAATTAGATTAGGAAACAAAATCAATTTTGATTTATGATTTGTTTCCTCTATTATAAGGAGTCTTTTTAGAATAGAATTTGACACTTTTTTTTTCTTTTTTGTAATTTTAGTCTTACTAGGAGTCTTATTTGATACTTTCTATTTTTGTAATTCTAGTCTTACTAGGAATCTTATTTGTTTTTCTATTTAAGAAGAGTCGTGTAACCCCAAGGGAGAATAACTTTTCATCAATAAAATTACTCTTTTCAATATTTTCTTCGTGGATTCGAAGATCATTCTTTGTGGATTCAGATAACACCCTTGGTGGATTCCAATGTTATCACTTCCGCGCTGCGTCAATTGGTATCAGAGCCATATTCCTCCGATCTGATGACAGGTGATGAAGCCCCTATTTCTCGAACTGAGTTCGACGTGCTGAAGACCGGTGTTAATCAGATGAAGACTACCGTAGAGCGACTTGCGTCGACAGTGGAGCGTCTGAACATTAGAGGAGTTTGAAATCACGTTGATGGTCGCAAGCGACATGATTCGACTCCACATGATGAATTCAACAGCGACAATGATTCTAAGCAAGACCTTGGAGTTGGGAAGAGCATTAAAAAAGTGATAAAGAAAGAAGAATCACCTCCATAGCATAATATCTTCCGCACGAGGTGCACTATGATGCAAAATATTTGTGATGTTATTATTGATAATCACAGTAGAAAGAATCTTGTCTCTCGAAGTATGGTAAATAAGTTAGGTTTGAAGACAAAGAAACACCCACCTCTCTACAAGACCGACTGGATTCACAAGGACAATGATGTGCAGAATGATGAGATGTGTCGTGTACCTTTTTCTATCGGTCATGGGTATTTTGATGATGTGTTGTGTGATGTGGTTGAGATGGATACTTGTCATATACTTTTAGGTAGGCCATGACAATTCGATATGGGAGCTACCCACAAAAATAGAGACAATGTTTATATCTTCAAGAAAGATGGACGCCGAGTTGTACTTCTGCCTCTTACAGAAAAGGAGTCATCTAAGATAAAAGCTACTAAGGAGAATAAACCTTTGGTGGCAAACAACGAGGCTTTAGCAGAAAACTTGAAGCAATCTGAAGAGGTCTATGACTTGGAAACCTTTGGTGGCAAACAACGAGGCTTTAGCAGAAAACTTGAAGCAATCTGAAGAGGTCTATGACTTGGTTGTAACTAAAAAAAGAAAACTTGAAGCAATCTGAAGAGGTCTATGACTTGGTTGTAACTAAAAAAGAAGAACATGCCCCTACCGAAATTCCTTCTAAGATGCAAACAATCGTTATGCATGAGATTCATTATGCTGATATGATAGTGAAGATGGATGATATGCATGATATTCTCAAAGGGGTTGAGAGTGATTTTACACATATTGATGTTGTCCTGATGAAGGAGAATGATAAATTAGAGAGTGGGACAATTGATGATATGTGTGAATTGCTTGGTGGAGGGCTAGAGATAAAGGAGATGAAAGAATTATGTATGGAGTATGACACGAGATTTCCTTCTCTAGAAGCAAAGTTGGTGAATAATTTTAAAAAGAATTTGATGATACTTCAAACACTAGAATACGAGAAGCAGCATGGAACATATTTTGTGGAGTTTTTGAAGTTAACTACACATCCACATGCCGCCAATAAAATACACATGATGTCGGAAAGAATAATATATGAATTTGATTCAGAAAAAGTCCTAGACGAGAAGGTAAAAGAACAAATGGAGAAAATTAATACTAAATATAAGGCGAACGCTGATCATTGCAAGAGAATAAAATTATTTATCAATGAAGCTACTATTCTAACAAATATAAGTTCGGGGTCGAGCTTCTTTCAACAAGGAGAGACTGATGTAAGACGCTTAATCTGAGTTGGAGTCTATTTAGATTAAGAAATATAGATTAGGAAATAAATTCAATTTTAGAGTCAAGTTAGATTAGGAAACAAAATTAATTTTGATTCATGATTTGTTTCCTCTATTATAAGGAGTCTTTTTAGGATAGAATTTGATACTTTTTTTTTGTAATTCTAGTCTTACTAGGAGTCTTATTTGATAATTTCTATTTTTGTAATTCTAGTCTTACTAGGAGTATTATTTGTTTTTCTATTTAAGAAGAGTCATGTAACCCCAAAGGAGAATAACTTTTCATCAATAAAATTACTCTTTTTAATATTTTCTTCGTGGATTCGAAGATCGTTCTTTGTGGATTCAGAGAACACCATTGATGGATTTTGAGGTTATCACTTCCGCGCTGCGTCATAATATGAGAGTTGATTATGTATGTGAGGTTGAGAGATTAAAAGACGATAGTTGAGTGGTTCCTCTTATAGTTCTCTCTAATACATAGTGGATTTCTCATGTTGTTGCCCGTGAACGTAGGTCGAAGTTGGTCGACCGAACTACGTAAATCTTAATGCTCTTTCTTCTTGATTACGATTATTTTCTATCTTATTAATTGTGGGTTAATTTTGAAATTGCGCATATCGTAGTAGGCGGGGAGACTAAAATTCCCTAATACAGCTGGATATAAATATTCATTTTACATGTTTCTGTGCTCGTAAGTTAAAAGTCGAAAATATTGAAATAAGGAAGATTGAGGGGGGTGCGTCCGAAAAAAATCCAAAAGGAAACGCCAAAAAATCGGAGGATTCGGCGCAACCCGGAACGCTCGTCGTCGCGGCAGCGAAATCCGGCCAGGCGTGCCGCGGTGGGGGACCGTCATGACGAGGTGGGCCCCACCCCTCATGCTCTCCAGCCCTACACGCCTGCGCGCAGACCAAATGTCGCACCCAAAAAGTCACCCTCGATTGAATTTGATAGACCGACCTTCGAAGCAAGTCTTCAGTGGGTCTCCGACAAACCGGCACTCACGGGATCGACTCCGACGCGAGATTATTAAAAAATAAAATAAAATAAAATCAACACTGCATGAACGTGAAGATAAATTTATTTTGGGCTCAAAATCGTGAGATTGGTTACGGGATAGTTGATGTGTTTCTATAATAGTCATTGATTTTGCTTGGATTCCCAATAAAAACGACACGTGTCTGTTTGTCCACAGTTCGTCCCGTGGGTTTTGAGTTCAGAAAAACCTACTTGGATATGAATACATCGCATAAGGCCCCGTTTAGTTGCAAAAGAGAGAGGCTGAAAGCCTGACGAAAGCTAACAAAAATGTCAGCTTTAAACCAAAAATCGCCTCTTAAAGAGACGATTTTGGTTTAAAGCTGACAAAAATGTCAGTTTTTGTAGGGATTCAGCTTCTCTGAGTTGCAACCAAATGGACCCTAAGTAGATGGACTACTTTCGCCCTTAATTGAATTTGATACTCTAAAAGTTTTATTTTGAACATTACGCATCCCAAAAGTGCGAAAGAAATTGACGGTCGTTTTATTGCTAAGTATCATCATCGTAAAAAGGTGAATGCTAAATTTTCTTACCTAATCTCATCTATTATTATTATTTTATTTATTTATTTATTTATTTGGGTTTGGGATAAGGAATAAAGTTAGGATTTTGAGATATCAAATTGTTAAAACAGTGTTAATTTGAAAACTTTGTGTCATCAAATAGCTAAAATATAAATTCACCATATCATAGCTACAAGGGCAAGACTTAATGGATGTGGAACGGTGTAAAAAAAAAGGGTACATACACTAGTTGACGAGAATTTCGAGTTCCTCTTGAAGGGCCCTTCAATACAGGCCCATCTAAATGGGCCCTATACAAAGGCCTTGTTGCTCTCCTATCAACTGTAATAAAAAAAGAGTAAAATGGAAGAAAGAGGAAAAAGAGACGCTCATCAAAGAGCTCTTCATTAGCTCATGCTCAATATACTCTCAATTAAGCAAATTTAAAACAATTAACATTGGGAAGATAATGAACCGATCATTTTGTAATCTCACGTAGCAGGAAACTTACGTTGAAATGTGACGTTATGTTCTTTGATGGCTACAGATTCCACTTGGATTTTTTTTAATATATATACGGTATACTTTCTTGCTATTGTAAGTTGCTTTGCTTCGTTTATGAGCCGTAGCTTGTGCGATTACTTTAGGTTCTAATCATAACTTTTAGGAGTGGGGCAGTAAACCAAAAGTCGGCAAAAGATACTCAATAATCAATATTAATTATTGAAATTTTAACTTGCTCTCCGAAGTATCGGTTGTCTATTTCTAGCATTATATTATATATTTGTGTGAACACCGTGCAAAGTATAACATATTTTTTTCCCGTTACAGTAATTCTGGTTTTAACTACTATAGCAATTTTGGCTTTTTTGAATTTCTACAGTATCCCGCTGTTGCTATATTATTCCAGTGTGCTACAGTAATATTTTTTTTAAAAAATCAAAGTGCCGAGTTTCATGATTGCTACAGTAATAATGCTATAGTAAATGCTGCTGTAGCATTTACTATAGTATGAATAGTGAATTTTGGGTTCTCCCGTTTGTATAGAGGAGTAGATTTGCTTGCCTAATGCGGTCCTACAGTAAAGCTACCATCAAATACTTAACCGAAATACCAAAATTTTCAAACAAGCCTCTAAAAAAGTTTAAAGTTACAAGAAACACCTTGAAACAAATTCAAAAATTATAAAAAAAACTCTTAAAAATTTTAAAAATTATAAATACCCTAGTAAAAATATGAAAATACAACTGGTTGCTGACAATTTCAAAATTTGCAAAAGCATCAAAAAAATTAAAATTACAAAAAATACCTTGAAATAAAAAAATTACAAACAATTCTCTAAAAATAACAAATTTGAATAAAAAATTCAAAACTTACAAAAAACAACCTAAAACTTCTAAAAATTAAATAAAAACCCTAAATTTTCCAAAAAATAAAAAAAACGGCAAATTCAGGGACGCTGTTTTTGATATTCATAGAATTTTTTTAACAATTTTTGAAAGTTTTGGGGTGTTTTCTAATAAATTTTGATTTTTTTTGGAGTCCTTTACAATGTTCAGATTCTCAGGGGTATGTTTATGGTTTGTGAAAATTTTGGGATGTCTTCTGTAACTCAAAATATATAGGTTATTTTTGTAAATTTTGGATTTTTTAATGTTTGTAAATATCAGATTGTCAAGTGGTCATTTATAATTTTTAGAGTATTTTTTTTATAACTTCTAATTTTCCAATACGTTATTTATAATTTATAAAAAATTTAGATTTTTCATAAAATTCAGTATAAGAACCCTAAATAAATTGGCATGCTACGTTATCATCCGTCAAGAATTAATAGTAACTTCACAAAAGGACGCTAATGAGTAAACAAACATAGTATAAAAAGGGGGAAATAGATAAATTTATACTTTAGCATGCAAATTGGGAGTTAGTCAGTTTGTCCTTAATAATTATAAGAAGTCAACACGTTAGATCTTTATACTGGCCTCTCATGGTTACTTCTCGGTTAGCGAAAGCGTGAATCACAATTTCACTAGCGAAAACTAGAGTAATTTTATTAATCTATGTGAAAACTGTGGCTAAATCTATTAGATTTTTTTTTTATTTTTGAAAATTTTAAAAGTTGAAGCAGTTTTTTTTCGAGAAAGAAGGAAACTTGAAGGTTGAGAACCCCTAACTTAGGGGAGTGCTTGTGAGAATTTAAAAGTTAAAGAGGGTCACACGCGAAATGCCAAATGTGAGGGGGCGCTTTGTGAAATTTGCCCTCTACTTTTCTGGTGACCGTCCGCCGCCAACGCGGGGAGGGACATTGAACCTGTTCCCATATTAATTGCTGGCCCCGTTTGGCAAATGGTTAATGAAGAGGGGTTAAAGAGAAGGATTAATGTACTTAGCCCATTTGATAATCCGAATGACTAAATTATTAACCTGTTAAATAAGTTTTATTTTAGCCCTTATGATTAGTTTTAGTGTTTGGGAATAACAATGATTTTGACTATTTTCTTTATAATTAGAAGGGTTAACTCTTATTTCATCTAAATAAGAGTATTAGTAAACCCCTCATTTTGAGGGGTTAACTCATTTTAACCCCTCTAGAGGGGTTAACTTAACCCTTTTATATTTTTTATGTTTGGCAAATTATGAAGGGTTAACTCACTTTAACCCTTAGACTATCTCTAGCATGGGTTTTTTTGGGGGGGTTTTGGCTCCAGCACGGGGTTTTTGGAGGGGTGAATTGGAAAACCGAAATCGGATGGGTGAATTTTTCACCTCCGGTTTTTCTAACCTCATGGGTCCCGCGAATTGTCCTTAGCCCATGCTTGGAGCCATGTGTCAAGGCTTGGTTGGTTGGCCTTTTTTGTTTTATTCTTAATTTTTAAATGATATTTTGGGAGATAAATACTAGGAATTAATTTATAATTTTTATATCAATAATTTTTATTTTTTCACCTCTATAAATAGAGATTAGTCTTGTGTAATTTGGACACCAAAAAAATCTGAGTTTTCAACACCTTATTCTCCTTCTCTTTGCTTTTGCTTCTATATTCTTCAAACTTTTTCAAATGGATCCTTCACAAAATTATTCTAATTTCTCCTACAACTTTTCTAACCAGCCTCAAAATACCAACCCTCAAAATCCAAATATGCAAGCCCCGAAAATTACTCAAAATGCTGGTATGCAACCCAATTTTCAAATGCCGTATATGATGCCACCAAATTTTGGCATGCAATACCCTTATCTTCCTTACGGTTATCATCCAGCTGCGGGAAGCAGCTATGTTCCATCCCATATGAATTTCCCTACCACGGAGTCGATTGAGCCACCGACACCCCGGTTCAGTAGCGGATCTACAGAAATCCCGGAGATATATGAAATAAGAAAAAGAAATGAATAAATAAGGTGGGGTATATATGTTGGAGAACCCAACAACCAACAAAGAGATCAAGTTACGATAGTTGGAGCACAGAAGACAACATAATTCTGCTAACTGCTTATTTTCACGCTAGTAATGATAGTGAGCTGGGGAACAACCAAAAAGGTGAAACTTTCTGGGGTAAAATTACACAGTATGTGAATGAGAATGGCAAGAGTGGAAAAGAGAGGACCATAGCTCGGTGCCAGAGTCATTACAAAGACATCAACAGAAAAATTTGCAGTTTCATTAGCTGTTACAGTACTGCATGTAGGGAGAAGCAAAGTGGTTGGTCTGATGAAAACTACATATCCAAAGGCAGGGAGTTGTACTTTGAGAAAATGGGTACATCGTTTAATTTGGTGGATGAGTGGAAGGTTGTTCGCAATCAACCAAAATATATGCCAGGAGTAGCATTATCGGGTAGTAGCGGTTCGAAAAGAAAGAGTAGTAGTGAAGATGTTGAATCCTCCGCTCCTACCCACGTACGTCCTGAGGGTAGGGACACGACAAAGAAGAAAGCTAGAGCTTCGTCCAGTAAATCAAGGAAATCGAAGGTCGAACTACAGGATGAGTTATCCAATATAGTCACCTCTCGTGAAAAGGCGGAAGCGAATAGAGCAAGTACTGTTGAAGCTATGAATGTCCTCGCTCGTGCCAAGAATATGGAGACGTGGAGATTTTTGAAAAACAAACCAGATCATGACGATGAAGATGAAGAAGCATATCAGTTGTTGAGGAAAGAACTGTTTGGCAAATGAAGAAGTTGTTGTTTATCTGTTAGTTTGTTTATGTGTTTTTAAGTGTTTTTTTAAGTGTTTTGTGTGTTGAAATTGGCGTGTTGAATAAAATCGTTGTTTTTTATTTGAAGAAATCCAATTGAAATGACTACTCCCTCTCCAATTGAATTGACAAGTCTCTGCAATTAAAGTTAAAAAATGTATGAATTGACAACTCTCTGGTATGAATTGACAACTCCCTGCAATTCAAGACGAAGGGTTGAATTGACCACTCTATGCAATTAAAGACAAGGCATGAATTGACAACTCCCTGCAATTAAAGACAAAGGGTTGAATTGACCACTCTATGCAATTAAAGACAAGGCATGAATTGACAACTCTCTGTAATTAAAGACAAAGGGTTGAATTGACAAGTCTCTGCAATTAAAGACAATGCATGAATTGACAACTCACTGCAACGCATGCCATACGCCACATGTCGTTGCAATTGCATGTTTTTGAACAAATGTTTTCATTATAAATGCTGACCAAATGCACAACTTGGAGTATACCTATCAACATTTTTTCTACATACCCTCCAATGGATCCAAACCTAAATGAATTCAATCTCGAATACTTCCAACAAGAATGGGAGTTAGAAGATAAAATGTTTGATAGGCAACAAGAACTGCTTGAAGAGTTGCTTAGGAGAGAAGAACAACCGCGCAAGAGAAAGTCCATATATAGAGATCATCAAGCAGCGCATGAGAGGCTCATGACCGACTACTTTGCCGAATCATGCACATACACTGATGCCCAATTTCGACGAAGGTATCGAATGAATAGGCCTCTCGTTCTACGAATTGTGGATTCTATGTCAAATTTTGACGTTTACTTCACACAACGTCGTAATAATGCGGGCAAGCTTGGTTTAACCCCTATCCAAAAGTGTACTGTTGCCCTACGCATGCTCGCATATAGAGTAGCAGCTGATGCTTGTGATGAGTACGTGAAGATAGGAGAATCTACTGCTATTGAGTGTACGCAGAGGTTTTGCGAAGGGGTAATAGCCTTGTTTCAAGATGAATACTTAAGACGACCCAATGTGCAAGACTTGCAGAGGTTAATCCAAGTTGGACAAGAGCGTGGTTTCCCAGGGATGATTGGAAGTATCGATTGCATGCATTGGCAGTGGAAAAATTGTCCAAAGGCTTGGCAAGGGCAGTTTACTAGTGGACACAAGGGCACAGCAACAGTTATTCTCGAGGCAGTTGCGTCATATGATTTGTGGATATGACATGCTTTTTTTGGGCTTCCTGGTAGTTTGAACGACATAAATGTATTAGATAGGTCACCCGTTTTTGATGACATTGAGTCTGGGGAAGCTCCAAGGGTAAACTTCACTGTTAATGGACGACAGTACAATATTGCATACTATCTTGCTGACGGAATCTACCCAAAATGGCATGTCTTCGTCCAGTCAATTCAAATGCCCCAGGGATCCAAACAACAATGTTTTGCCAAACAACAGGAGTCATGCAGGAAGGACGTGGAGCGCGCATTCGGGGTTCTCCAAGCACGGTTTGCTATTGTCCGCCAACCAGCTCGAACGTGGGATCTTGAAGTCTTAGGTAAAATAATGAGGGCGTGCATTATTTTACATAACATGATAGTGGAAGATGAACGAGATTCGTATTCGCGAAACTGGGAAAATATCAACTTTGAACCGTCAAACAATCCTAGCTCTTCCGCCTCTTCCAGTGTTCAAACAGAAGTATTGCCTGAGTTTCAAGTCCATGTTCGAGACCGATCCGGATCGGATAATCATACTAGAGCCGAACTACGAGATAGGAGCCAACATATTCAGTTGAAAAAGGATCTCATCGAGCACATTTGGCAGAAATTTGGAACAACCTCTGATTAGATTTACCAATTTAATGTGTGTTTTCTTTAATGATTTCAATAATTTGTGTGTGTTTGACTTTTTCGTATGCTTAATAAAATCGTGTGTTTTTTTGTTAATATAAAAATATTATCAAAACTTAAATTAATAATATATATTATTTATGTAAATATTAAAAATTTATAATTATAAATAAATGAGTTATATTAGTAATAATAATAGTAGTAGTAGTAATATATATGAAATAAGATAAAGAAATGAATAAATAAGGTAGGGTATATATGTTGGAGGGATGGGGTAGTAGTGGGTCCCAAATAAAGTAAAAATCTTTTGAAAAAACTCCTGCTGTAGTGATGATAGAAAATGAAGATTGTTGAATTATGTGGAGGGGGAATAAAGTAATGTGACAGGAGAGAGAATGTTAAAATTTCGACTCCTGCTGGAGATAGTCTTATATAGATTTGTTGTGTTTGGCAGGTTAAAAATGGGTTAAATCTCCTTAACCCCTCATTTAACCCTTTGACAAACGGTACCTACAAGTTCTCCCGCCATCAGATTTTTATAGGACAGCAGTAAAAGTAGGGGGACAAACTCTGGCAGAAAATATCCCCATCACATCTTCACATCTTATTATAGCATACGCCCCATGTGCACATTTCCAATTTATGTAATCATTATAGATTGGACAAGACATAGCACGGAACATGCATTTTTAAGAGAATATTTTGGACCTATTGAAAATTTATGTGTTACTTTGTATTATATTCTAGCACAAATTTTAATATAAATTAATAGAAAATTTTTTATGGAATAATAGTAATAGCTCTTATCTACTTAAGCTTACGGGAGTTTTACTCTCAAAATTTTTTCTTTATTAGGAATGAAAGAAGAACTATCTATCTTTTATATTGAAGAGTTGATAGTGAAATTGAATAAAATGTAAGATGCTGCTTGAAAAATGAAAAAGACCGCATTAAGAAAGTTTTATACACATAGAACTTCATCTACTGATCTCTCTTGCCTATTGGTTATAAATTTCAAAAGATTATCACAATGATACATGTATTCACTATTCAGTCGTTACTATAACTAATGATTTGATGGACTAATTTTAGGTACGTCAAGGTGTGGCCTGTGACTCGAAAATCTATATATCCACAATATTAAATGCAGTAGTTAGGCTATCTTGTTTTTCTTTACTTTAATCCCACATCGGTTAGGATTTTAGAGCTTCTCTCATCACTCTTGTATTTAACCACTTCAATGCAATGAATAAAATTGTACTTCTTTGAAATATTGTTATACTTATCATGACATTCTACGTTACTCGCAGTTTGACCGCCGTACCGGTGTCGATCCGACCCGACACCGATCCGGGTACGAAATACGGGTCGGATACGGAGGTTGGCGCAGGGTTTGAATAGTAAATCCTAGATCTGAAAATTGAAGGTGAATCTTCGAAATTGTTTGTAGTGATGATGGGGCTTTTGCACGCGAGGTCGAGACGAGTGCAATGGCTTAATTTCGCCCTCACCGCTGACTGAATCCGGCGACGTTAGAGGTGAGAGAGAGTCAGTTAGGAAGTCGAATGTTACTTTCGCCTTTTCTTTTTCCTTTTTTTCCCCTGATATGAGGTGGGAGTCGTGGGACGGGGAGGGCTCGGAGGGGTTGAATGGGTGAACGTGATAATCACGTGGGTGTGGGTGTGTACAGTGTACTGCTCAATAACTCAAGTTTTTATTTGTTTTATTTTATTAATTTATTTTTTGGCAACCACAAGTACAACTGAAACAAATCATCAATTAATTAATGCCTTTTTGTTTTGCCTTCATTAACAAACTAGGAAATGCTTTCATAATCTAACAAGAAATATTATTTTTGTTTTGTTTGCAGGTAATGAAGATTGAAGAGTTAAAGATGGAAGTTGAAAATTTACAAAGTCTTTCACAAGTTGAATTGTTGATTTGACTCTTTTTAATTAGGCTTAAGTTGTTACAAATGTATAATTTTGGAAATTCTTGGTTTTATAATAAATATTTGAAGCAATTAAAAGTGTATATGTGAATCTGTGATAGAGGAATGTAATTTAATTAGTTTTACTTCATTAAATAAATTAAACTATTATTTTTTATATTAATATTCTTATTTTTACTTGATCACTCAATAACCTTTTATATACATCATACATCACCTAAAAAAATTAGTTGTATCATCACTTCTTTATATAGTTCGAACGGTAATTTAATATTGTCGCTTGTGAAACCCATCCCAAAATTAAAAGTTACAATTAGAAAATTTTGTACTATGAATTATTTCTTTTTGTTAAAAATTGAGTGAGTTTTATTAACATAATAAAAATTTTACTAAAAGTCTAAAATCACAAAAAAAGGCCACATATTTCTAAGAGTTAATTATAAGTTTTTAACCACAGAGTATTTTATTTGTTCATTATTACCTTTTAAAATTATTTTTTGTTTTCTAGACTTTGAATGCTGGTAGTTTTAGTAAATGCGATTAGAATGACGGTACATAATCCATGATTTAAACATTATGAACTATATGTCTATATGTTAAATTTGAGTACGATAATACGGACAAAAACTTATAATCTATGCATTAAGTAAAACAATTGAGCAATAAACTTCATATATTGTTCATCTTAGTAATAGAAACGAGTTTATGTTAAATGCATTGACTAATATTTACACTTAAGTATAAGAATTTATCAATAAACTCCATATATTGTGAGTCATATCATCTAAATAATCAATGTGGTAGTTTTCGTAAATGTGATTAGAATGACGGTCCATGATCCATGATTTAAACATTATGAGCTATATGCCTATGGCTATATGTTAAATTTGACTACGATAATACGGACAAAAACTTATAATCTATGCATTAAGCAAAACAATTGAGCAATAAACTTCATATATTGTTCATCTTAGTAATAGAAATGAGTTTATGTTAAATGCATTGACTAATATTTACATATAAATATAAGAATTTATCAATAAACTCCATATATTGTGACATATCATCTAAATAATCAATGTGGTAGTTTTAGTAAATGTGATTAGAATGACGGTCCATGATCCATGATTTAAACATTATGAGCTATATGCCTATATGTTAAATTAGATCATAATAATACGATCAAAAACTTGTAACGTATGCATTAAGTAGAACAACTGACCAATAAACTTCATATATTGTTCATATAATAAACTTCTTAATCAACGTGGTAAATGCAATTAGGATAACTATTAGTGATTTGAGAGATTAGATCTATATGTTGAGTTTGATTATAATTAGGGCTGAGCATGGTTCGGTTCAAACCGAAAAAACCGATCGAACCGAACCGACCCGAAAAAATCGGTTTTATGAGTAGGGCGGTCCGGGTCGGTTTAATGCTTCATAATCTCCTACTTTATTGATATATTTTTTTCTTTAATACAGTTTGTTATTTGATAAGAAGTTTGATGAAGTTAGAACCGAACAAACCGAACCGAACCACACCGAACTGACTTGTAACAGTTCGGTTCGGTTTTGAATTATAGGCGGTTCGGTTCAGTTGTTCAAAATTTGATAAAAACCGAACCGAACCGACCGTTGCACACCCCTAATTATAATAATAGGGACAAAAACTTATGATCCATGTATTATGTAGAATAATTGATTAATATACTTCATGTATTGTTCATATTAACTAACTTTGATGACTTTAATTCTTTAAACATTATGATCAATATGTTGAGTTAGATAACAATCATATGCAATTAGAATAACTGATGATCGATAATTTTGAACAATATGATCTACATGCGATTAGAATGACTATCAACCATCAATGGTTTAAATCTTCTTAACCCGTAAAAAAATAAATATTATCCACGATTTAGAAAAAAAGATAAATATTATAAGTGTTTTTAAGATAAGATAACATAAATATCACTTACTAAATAATATATGTTAAATTTTGACAAAAACAAGAGATAAATAAACAATGCTACAATTGTGTGAAAAAAGGGAAAAGCAGGGGGGGATGAAAAAAACCAAAGCCAGCAGCACGCCACCCATGATCAATTAGTGCTTTTTCAAAGAAAGAAAAAAAAATAAACTTCGCCTAAATCCTTTCTATTCCCCTCCTGCTGATTCGGATCAATCCTTTCGCCGCCCATGGCTAATCCTAGCCGTCCACCATTTGATTTTTTCCAACACTCGAGAAAACATTTGACGTTCACAGCTTGCATTTTCCCAACGAATCCAGCTTGCATTTTCCCATCGAGATTCGTGAAAACTGACTCCAAAGAGTCGATTCACAGCTTCGTCTTCCCCTATCGGACTCTTCCAATCTCTGTAATTCTCCTATAATATACGACCCTCACCTGAAATACAAAACAAAAAATGTTCTGCAAATCTCAAATTGCAAAACTTCTGAGAGAATTGAGAGATAAACAACTGAAAATCAAAAAACGAATTTTAGAGAAAGGAGGCTACCAAATCTGCAATTCTGATCAGGTATCTAACAAATACTTTAATTTTTCAGACATTAATCTTGAATCATGCTCTCTAATTTTCTTTTGTAAAGCTCTGTGGAAGACTGGAAGTTAATTTACTTTAATTTTTCAGAATTTATTCCTTAAATTATGCTTTCTGAAACTATGTTTATATATTTTTCTTTTTGTAATTGATTCTAGGCTCAATGTCACGCCCAATTAAGAACAAAGGATTTGATGATACACCATTGTGGAGTCATGTTGAGGTTCTATCCACACCCACTGGTGGAGGTGGTAATAGGGTGTGGAGATGCAAATATTGTAATAAAACAGTAACTTCTTCCTATTCCAAGGTTAAAGGGCATTTGCTAAAAATTCCCAACCAATGTGTTCAAGCTTGCAAGGGAATAACAGAGGACATATACCGTGAGATTAAGAAAGAAAATGATGAAGCTGAACATAAGAAAAGGAATTTGTCTCTGAGTGTAAAACAAAAGCAGGATTATATTTCTCTTCCTGAAGGTTCTGATTTAGTTCAACCAAAGAAAAGAAAAGGGTCACTGGAGATGTCCTTCAATGTGTTAGAAAGAGAAGAAGCTGACAAAGAATGTGCCATGATGTTCTATACAGGTATGCTATCCTTTAATTTTGCAAGAAATCCATACTTCAGAAAATATTCTCAAAGGTTAGCCAATGGAAATCTTCATGGGTATGTTCCTCCTACTTTTGAGAGACTTCGAACAACTTTACTAGTCCAAATGAGAGCACATGTTGACAAGTTACTACAACCGATCAGAGATAATTGGGTCAAAAAAGGTGCATCAATATGTTCAGATGGTTGGCAAGATCGTCACTCAAAGCCTTTGGTGAACATCATGATAGCTTCTGCTGCCGGTCCGATGTTCCAGAAAATAATTGATGCTACTGAGGTGCTTAGTAAAGATGCTGAATATTTGGCAGGTGTTTTTACTGAAGTAATAGAAGACATTGGTGAAAGTAAAGTTGTGCAGGTCATAACTGATAATGCATCTAATTATATAAGCTGCTGGAGCAATAATTGAAAGAAAATTTCCTAACATTTTTTGGACACCTTGTGTTGTTCATTGTTTGAATTTGGTTCTCAAATCCATATGTGAACCTAATGAGAGAGTAAAGATGCTGAATATTTGGCAGGTGTGTTTACTGAAGTAATAGAAGACATTGGTGAAAGTAAAGTTGTACAGGTCATAACTGATAATGCATCTAATTATAAAGCTGATGGAGCAATAATTGAAAGAAAATTTCCTAACATTTTTTGGACACCTTGTGTTGTTCATTGTTTGAATTTGGTTCTCAAATCCATATGTGAACCTAATGAGAGAGCTTCTCACTATATTGAATGTCAGTGGATATCACAATTGGTGCATCAAGTGAATGAAATCAACTATTTCATCCTAAATAATGGTTTATCAACTACTATTTTTGAGCGTTATGCAGATGTGAAACTCTTAAAAGTAGCTGAAACTAGATTTGGTTCAAAAATTGTGATGGCCACAAGGATACAAAGGTTGAAAGATGCTCTTGAAAAAACTGTGATGGACCCCGATTGGAAGAAATTTAAGGTGAATGGGAGGAATCCCATTGAACTTAAAGCTAGAAAGGTGAAAGATTTGTTGGTTAGTGATGCATGGTGGGATCAAGTTGATTATCTACTCAAGTTTGCAGAGCCAATGATGAATTTTTTAAGGGCCGCTGACATGGACTCTTCGGTGTTGCACTTAGTGTATGATATGTGGGATACTATGATAGAAGAAGTCAAGAAAATTATTTTTGAGCATGAAGGTGTCGACTTAGTGTCAGGTCAGTCAAGTTTTTTTGATGCAATTCAGCATGTCATCGAGTCAAGATGGAACAAGAGCAACACACCACTACATTATATGGCACACTCATTAGTTCCTAAGTACTACACTGAAGAATGGCTTCAAGGAGGTGGAAACAACATTCGAAGAGTTGCTCCAAATGAAGATGAAGAGGTCTCAACAAACAGAAACAAGTGTCTACAAAGACTTTTCCCCAATTCAGATGATGCTCGAAGAGTTTTTTTAGAATATGGTACATTTTCTGGCAGTTTAGGGAACTTCAGCGAGCCTCACGTCATGGCAGCCAGGGCATATGAAGACCCTTTGTCATGGTGGGCTAACTATGGCTCCACAACTCCATTGTTGCAGAGCCTAGCTTTTAAACTTCTTTCACAGCCTGCTTCTTCTTCTTGTTGTGAGAGGAACTGGAGCACATTTGGATCCATTCAAACTGTGAAAAGAAATAGGCTGGCATCTAAAAGGTTGGAAGATCTTGTTTACATTCACAACAACTTAAGATTGCTTTCTCGGAAGCAAAAAGAGTACACTGATGGTCCATCCAGATATTGGGATATTGATAAGATTTTGTTATTTGCTTTTTTATAAGTTATAATTAGTGTATTATTAATTTAAACCTTGTAACTATTGTTATTGTTTGCCTTTTTGTTTAGGGGGAGACACTATGGATGGTGATAGCATATTGGAAGTTGCTGAGCTTTCCCTAAATGAACATGAGATCGAAGCCATTTCTTTTGACTTATGAGCTTAAGTTGTCGGCTGATGTTAGAGACGATTTGATGTTGTGGAAGTGTTTTTTTACTTTTTATGCACTAGATTTCCATTGGACCTTTGATATTTGGTTTTCCATTGAACCTTTGATTGTTGAATGTTAACTTTCTAATTTTAATGCACTTGATGCAATTGTTTTGGAGAATATTTTAAGTTTAATATTTTTTATTGCCGTATCCCCGTACCCGTGTCGAAATTTAGGACGGTGTCCCCGTATCCAAAATTTTTAGAAATTACGTACCGGACACTCGGATCCGCACCCGTATCGGATACTCGTACCCGAGTCCAGGTAACATAGATGACATTAGAGCATTGTTATTAGATAGAGACCTCTTTCATCTTCCTCGATTTCAAGCCGCTGAGGGGGTTTCACCGCAAACTCTGCACTTCTCGTTGGTGGCCTCAATACCAGTTTTCAATCTCGACACCATCATCATCATCTCTGTCCAAGTCATTACTGGAAAGCACCACAACATCCCCTACCTAGAAAAAAAGTCATTATGTGCACTCATTCTTGGCAATTTGTATATGGGACCCAAATATAGTTTGAGTGTGTGTGTGTTAAATGTAGTAATCAGGCTATCTAGCTTTTAATTACTTCATTTCCATATCGCTTAGGATTTTAGAACTTCTCTCACTGCTCTTTTATTTAAATACTTCAATGCAATGAATAAGATTGTCGATTTCTCTCAAAGCTCTCTATACTTATCATTCATAGGTAATCCTAATATTACTAATTGAAATTATAAGAGTGACCTGAAATCTGTTTTTTTTTTCCATTCTTAGGATTATCCTGTAGACACAATCAGTAATTTAAGGATTATTCATGTACATATGCAAACTCAAGGAGCATTCATGGCTAAGCGTAGTTAAGCCATCCAAATAATGGAATACTGCGGTCAATTTTAGTAAAAGGAGTTTTTATTTGCATATATACCCCTAAAATCTTTGATATTTATAAAATTATTCCTCAAATACCGGATTTGCAAAAATTTCCCTCGAAACCGGTATATTAGGTCTTTCTACCACTCCAACTTAAGAGTATCACATTTTAAACAAAGCAAGTCAAAACCCTCGATAATTTTCAATAGCTTCGCAGTAATTTTTCCTTTAAAGACTAAAATTTGTAAGGAAAAAGGGGTAGACAAAATCAAACGTGAAAGAATTAGAGGCAACTTTGCAAATATCAAAATAAAGAAGGTAATTTTGCAAATATGATATCTGAACGGTACGTATGCAATAACCTGTTACGAAAAATCTTTTCTATTGCTGTCGGAGATATTCATTTTAGCACATGGACAAAATAGCTCACCCTTTTTCTTGACCGTAGCAGTCGCTTTCAAGCCGACAACTTCAATGGGACCCACGCACACCCAAAGTTTCAACGTATAATCATTAAAATATTGCAGCTTGCAGACAAAGCGGAACCTTAATTTATCTACTAGCTCGCGTGCTTTCGGCGTGCTGAAAATTTGATTGGATATTTTGGTAAATAACTCGTATATATATTATTTAAAGCAGAGCTATCCAAATTGTTGAGGTGAGCCTTTTGAATGATTTTGATACGACAGTGATCTTATCCCTTTAAAACAAATTAAATCACTATTTACAATCTACAGCGAGAAACGTTTGATATTTTGCTACGCAACAGTCCAACAAAACTCAGAGAATTATGAGAAAATTTTAGTTTCAAAATTCAACTTAAAACTTATATTTTGCCAGCAAATAAAACAAGGGCAGATTTTACAAAATCCCCGAGAATTCTGAATCATTTCGAGATAAACCAGCCACAAGTTTACAAGTGTCGTTTCTAACCTCCAAAATGTCTCCGCTTTTCTTCTGAGCCCGTTTAAGATAATGCCACATTTATGTTGACATTTCAGGACTTATCAGGGGTTATTTCAAAATAAGTCAAATTAGATAGAAGCTTACTTTCTGTTTTTATAAATGCAAAATATGAGCAAAAATGATGTAATAAAATTTTCGAGGACCACAAAGCGTGCTCAATAGATACACCATAACCTATGCAAGTGTAGGTTGTCACTTATTAGAATTTGAAAGACGATGTGAATTTCATATAAATCCGCATATGTTCAATGAACCTAACACCTACCTGTTCATGCTTGTCCTTGTTTTTATCCTGGCCTAAAAAATAAATATATGGGTATTTACTCTAAATAATATTTTCTTAAAATCATATCTACAACTTCTTCGGAATATTTGAATTACTGTTTATGTTACAGTGATATTATGTACTTAGCCTTCTTGTTTGAACAATAATGATTTCCTCAATAAATATTGTTCATAGGATAATATATATAATTTTGAATCTTAAACATGCTTTATGTGTTACAATTAAAAATTTGAGCTCTTTATCCACGGTTTAAGCTGAAGTGACAATTTTTAATCTTGAAAATACTATTTTTATCTTTTTTCCCCTTGCAAATGAATTTCATCTTTATTAAATATTTCATAAATATAATTTTATTTTGACTCTATTATAGAAAATTGATAAAGCTTGCTAAATTGTGTATTATTTTGTTAACTGATTTGAAAAGTCACTTTGTAAATAGTAGTAAAAAGTTATCTCTGGAGTTTTTATAAATAGTTATATATAAAAACCATATTATAAATTGGTGACATATATTACACAGTGAATAACATTCGCAACAACGTGTGGGCTTAATACTAGTACTATATTGTTATAGCTTAGAAAATTAATAAGTACTAATCACCCTAGAAAAACTAACACATATTTTACTCCTGACCTAAATTACACGAATTGAGGCTAAGACGACTCAAAACTACCCCTATGGGTGATCTTATGGGTCGACAACTTGCATAGCCGAGTCAAAAGACGGTACATATCGGCCACCCCCACTCAGTTGATCCTATGGGCTTACAATTTGTGTTGCCGAGTCATATGGCGGTGCTTCTCGGCCTTGGACCAAACAAACATAGAAGCGACAGTTACCTCGAACCCCTCGCTAGCAAACTGCTATTGCATTAACTATTCTGACAAAATCATTATTTCTATAGCTCCATAGTCTTTATAATTCATTGGGCCCAGACAACCCTAAGCACAGACTGTCATTCCTTCATAAAATAACCACATGACTCACTTTCTCCTACGACCAACACCTAGAAGGTATCTGCTGACTCAGCAGTCCGCCTAGACTCGACTGAAGTTACCTTCATACCTCTTTGATCTTCTATAAAAAAGAGCTATACTGCATGAGGTTACTTCTTCTATGTTTTGGCAACTTAAAGACTACTTACACACTTTGTCCTTGATTTCCCCCCTTAAGATCAAAATACTGACTTGATCGTTAGAGGAACAACCGGAGAACCAAACTATGCCCTCTCACAAGTTTTTCATGTGCAGGAACGAACAACGGGCTCTGGAACCAGTCATCTGAAGAAGTTTGAGGACCCTAAACACTCTCATAACTCTAACATAAACCCCTCGTTTGATAACCGACATCAACATATATACTTAAAATAAAAACTAAAGTTTCCATTGATATATAAGGTTCATCACTTAGCTTTTACCTTAACATAAAAGAAAACCATGGAGATAAATCACGGAGGAGTGGTCGAAGTGTCGCGTTTTTTTTAATTGGATAGAATCTATAAAAAGAAAGTGTCGATAATACAATGCATCTTATTCTACGGTCCCTCATTAATTTTTGGATTCAATTTAATTAATTTTAACAACTTTTTTGAATATAGATCCTTACCCATCCTATATTGATTCTTTGTAAACTACTTTATGTACAAGTAAATACACCTTAGTACCTTGAGATACAACGTAACAATAATGGTGATTTTAGAGTATTGTTTCTACATGGGTAGCCCTGAGTATACTTATTATAAAGAGTTATTTTTCTTTGGCTTTAGGTCACCAGCGTAGTTACAGTCAGTAATCTCAGAATTACCAGTGTAGATATGTAAACTCCAAGATCCCCACCCAAAAAAAAAAAATTTATAATCTGATTTAGATAACTGGATGCAGTTATCACAGCTGCATATGAACCAACACGTTTGAATTTGAATCAACTCATTTTTATTTTCTCTACTTATACTTTGACGGGGGACTCATCTCTCATTTGTTCATGTTGCTTTCGAAAAACATAAGGACTTAGTACTTCATTTCCAGCTTTAATTAGAAACAAACCAATCGAGCTCGTCTCAAGACCGCGAGGGTCCCACATTTCCCAAGAAATTACCAAAATGCCCCATTCGTCATCTTTCTCTTCTTCACCGCTCCTTTTTATATAACCAAAACCAGCCCCTCATTTCCCCACAATAATTTCTTTCCTCCATTTAGGAAAAAAAAAAAACCTTCCCCCAAATTTTCCCCAATTCTCAAACCCTAATCGATCTGATCTCAAATCAACCTATCAAAATCGAGTCCAATGGGGTTCGATAACGAGGCGAGCTCCTCCAATTACTCCCTCCCGACCGCAACCTCCCCCTCCGCCGTCCCTCTCCTCGAAAAATCGCACCTTTCCTCTCAACCCAAGACCTTCGCCAACGTCTTCATCTCCATCGTCGGCGCCGGGGTCCTGTTACGCGCGCACCGGCTGGCCACCGGCATCCTCATGCTCCTCCTCGTCGGAACTCTAACTTTCCACTGCATGCCTCCTCCTCGTCCGCATACGCCGCCGACGCCTCGAACGTGACCTCCCCTTCTCAAAGATCGCATCTTTCGGCGATCTCGGCTTCGCCGTCGCGGCCCCTCCGGCGCGCAACCCCCTCGGCCGCAACTCCGTAGACGCCATGATCGTCCTCTCTCAGGCCGGGTTCTGCGTTGGGTACCTGATCTTTATCTCGAACACGCTTGCCCATCTCTTCAAAATCCAACCTTTGTCCCTCTTGACCCCAAAGTCGATCTATATTTGGTCCATGGTACCTTTCCAATTGGGCCTCAATTCGATCAAATCCCTAACCCACCTCGCCCCGCTAAGCATCTTCGCGGACATCGTCGACATCGGGGCGATGGGCGTTGTAATGGGCGAAGATTTCACCATCTTTCTCGATCGTAATCCTCACACTGAAGCGTTTAATGGATTCTCTCCAGTGCTTTATGGGCTCGGCGTCGCTGTCTTCGCCTTCGAAGGGATTGGAATGGTTCTTCCTCTTGAGCAAGAAGCGCAGAGCAAAGAGAAATTTGGGTTTACTCTTGGTATCTCGATGGGGGTTATATCGATAAGCTATGCTCTCTTCGGAGCTCTCGGGTATTTGGCATTTGGAGAAGATACAAGGGATATAATCACTACGAACTTTGGGAGTGGAGTGGTTACTATCATAGTTCAGTTGGGTCTCTGTGTAAACCTGTTCTTTACATTCCCTATAATGATGCACCCCGTGTTCGAGGTCGCAGAGAGATGGGTGTGTGAGAAGAGATACTGCTGGTGGCTGAGATGGTTGCTTGTTTTGGCGGTGAGCTTGGTGGCGATGTTCGTGCCTAATTTCGCCGACTTCTTATCGCTCGTTGGGAGCAGCGTTTGCTGTATGCTCGGGTTTGTGCTGCCCGCGTTGTTTCATTTGAAGGTGTTTGGGTCTGAGATGACTTGGGTTGAGGCGGCGGCGGATATTGCGATTGTTCTCGTCGGGGCCGTCGTTGCTGTTTCGGGCACTTGGTCCTCTCTGCAAGAGATTTTCTTTTCTTCCATGGTTTGATTTGGTTTATGAGGCCCTGCACTGAGGATCTGGGTTTGTAATAGTATAGTATGTGGGTCTCTGTCTCTGTATTTGGTTGGAGAGGAGAAGACCTTAGTTGTTAAGGGATGTTATAGATTAAGATTATTCGATTATAATAAGGATGCTGATTAATAATCATGATGGTCTTAGTGTGCATTGGAGAATGAAGAATTGGGCATCTCGTCCAATTGGTCTTAGTGTGTATTTTTCCATGAGAAATTTTGTGAAGTCTGAACAATGTTGTGTCCACTTGATGATGTTATGGCTCATGGTGAATGCATGAGTGCTTGTTGTTACCCAAAAAATGAATTGGGACACCAATCCAATGTGGAAGTGTTGCAACTGTGTGTATTTCTCATGAGAAATTTTTGTAAAGTCTGAACAATGTTGTGTTTACTTGATGATGTTACGGCTCATGGTGAATGCATGGGTGCTTGTTGTTGCCCAAAAATGGGATGTTGAATAAAAGGATGCTGCTTTGTTTATAAAGTGTATATTTGTGTTTTCTTCTGTTTTCTTTTGGGAGGTAAGCGTGTTGAGAGTGTACTACATCAGTAGTGCGTTGAGAGGGGGGCCTCAAACTTTGGATCAGTGTAGTACCGCACTTGTCCAAGATGTAGATTATATTCAAGTGCATTATTTGTGGCCGAGGGTCAAGACCACTATGTACTTTCTCTAGCAAAATGAGCAATTTCATTGCGTGGGGTATTTTTGTTGTGCTAAAGGTTTGATTTGGTGGTGAAACCCATGATACTTTGGGTTTGTAGTACGAGGTTTGGCCTCTGTCCCTTCATTTGGTTGAAGAGTAGAAACCCCTTTGGAAAAAGTAGTTGTTTAGGGAGCTAATAAATTAGCTCATCTCGTCTAATCTCATCTAATTTGGATTCCAATCAAATCTGAGGGTGTTATTGTCGGTTGGTGGTTTAATGATAAAATTTTGCATTGTTCTAAGAATGCTCTCTGTTTCCTTGATGAGGTTATGAATGCAGTTTGTTGCCAAAATGGTGGTTGAACGAAAGATGCTGATTTGTTTTGGAAAAGCATGATGAGCAATATTGAGCTTTTTGGTTTTTTGCCCCCCTAAATAGCCTAGACTTTTGTGAGAAAATATGGTACTTGTTTACTGCCTCCTCTTCTAGTTTTTTTAAGAGAAATGAAAGTATCCTGGTATGCACCCATTAAATACCACCAAGTTTTTCCACCGTCACTTATATACCATAAGTTGTATTTTGGTTAAAAAAAATATTATAAATTGTTAAAAAAATTGACATATCAGTACCATCGATTATGTAAATTTGAAAATTTCACCGGAATGTTTCTCTATAATACTTGCATGCTAATTTTAGAGCTTTTTAACTATTAATATTCGTTAAAACTACTATTAAATCAATCAAGATTCTTCTCCAAACTTATCTTAATTTTACTTTATAATAGCGTTGGGACATCTGTAATGATAAATTTAATAAATACCAATGGCTAGAAAGGTATAAAATTAATATGCTAGTGTCATATGAGAATATGCAGGTAAAAATCTTCACGTTTGCATGATCAAGGGGACCAATGTGCCTATTTTTAACAACTTATAATATTTTTATACTACAAAATACAACTTGTTTTCGTCAAAAGTTGGTTTCATTGCGGAATTCATTATATCTTCGGTCGATTACAACAAATTCAAAAGAAATAGTCTTTTTATAAGACTTCTTTTACACAACAAAAGGAAAATTACTGTTTGAGTCAAAAGTCGGTGCTGTTGAGGAATTCATTATAATTTTATTTGATTACAACAAATCCGAAAGAATAATCTTTTTATAAGACTTTTTCTACACAACAAAGCGAAAATTATAACTTTTGAGAAACAAACACAAAAATCGTCTATCGATCTTTGTTTTCGTGGGACTTTGCCTGTGCCGGGAACGCTTTGGTTCGTGGACCGCCGAATCACAGATCGTGAAGAGGGGGTTGACTGATTCTGACTTCGTTTATCGAAGTGAGAAATTGAAACGATATCTTATCGAAGTAAGATAGTCGTTCTTCTTAAAATCAAGTCAAAGCTTAATTTCAAGGCGTTGTAAGAAAAACTCAAATTTGCTCTCTCTCTGCTCTGGAATGCTCGTAATTATGCTCGATCCTCGTCAGAAATGACCCTAGGGGGGTATTTATAGCCTCTGGAGTTCATAACTGAAAAAACTCAACAAACGATAAAGTTAGACTGGCGAGACAGTGTTTACTGTCTCGCTGGGCGAGACAGTGTTTGCTGTCTCGGCCCGCGAGACAGTAAATACTATCTCGTCTCGCTGGCGAGACAGTTCATACTTGTTTTGATTTTTCCCAAAAACAGTATGATTTTCAATATGAGATCCCTTTGATTGATCTTCTCTATGTTTGGGATATCTATTAGTATTTTTTGATGCCTACAGATACCCCCTCCAAAGTATTCCAGACTCATTCTTTTATAGAGGAGCATGGGATACTTTGGATAAGATAGATTTTACTTACGATCCCTTCAATGCTCGGCTGAATAGATCGTGTGGAAGGACTTGTAAATGGCTTCAATGCTTGATCTCTTCTGCTTTTAGTCTATTCAGTTCTTCATAGAATAGCTAATGTTTTCCCGGCGTCACGTTTATCGCTTGACCGTTATCGAGATTTTGAATTGAAGTTGGTACTTGCTCTTGCAGGTTCAGCTTTTACCACTGAGTTGATATATCCATTAAGAGCTCATCAGGTTATCCTTAAGAATATTCAGATTAATATTCTCCAGAAACTTCCTGTTGAGGGTGGGAATACAGTTTAGACTCGTGTACCCATTGGAGTATTCCACTGTTCCATAGTGCAAAACAGAAAAGTTTACTGTCTCGTTTGACGAGACAGAGTTTTCTGTCTCGCTGGGCGAGACAGTGTTTTCTGTCTCACTCGGCGAGACAGTGTTTTCTGTCTCGCTTGGCGAGACAGTGTTTTCTGTCTCGCTCGGCGAGACAGAGTTGTCTGTCTCGCTCAGCGAGACAGAGTTTCCTGTCTCGCCCGGCTGCTATATAAGTCGGGACTTAGGGTTTTAGGGTTTTTTACGTCGGATTTTGGCGATTTTTTGGGCGATTCTTGGGTGATTTTCGACCAGTTTTCTTCTATTTCTTCTCCTTTTTGTTGCTGAATTGAGTGGTGTTCTTGTTTGGGAAGATTGCACTCGGATTTTAAAGGTCTGTTCACCCCCCTTTTCTCCAAAATCTTGATTTTCTTCAACTGTGACTATGATGCGTTATTTCAGCCATATTATGTAATATTTTGGGTTGATTTCTTGCTAAAAATCCTGACTTTTTCGTTGGGCTTCCTTGTAGATCACATACTCATCATGTCGCCGCGTAGAGCTCGAGGAACCCGAAGCCGACCGACTGTTCCGAGCCCCGAGGAGGCTGCCCCTGCTGCGCCCTCACGCGGAGGTATATTTCTTTCTCCTTTTTCATGAATTTAAATACTGTATTTCGTCAATTCCATATATATGTACCTGTATTTACTTGCAGATCCTCGTTTGTATCCTTTGAGATACCCTCGAGAAGAGCCGGTATCCTCCTTTGAGGGGATCGACGCTTAAAAGTGTTTGTTTTGCTTGGACAAAACGCACTTCATAATACACAGGGGCGATTTCATATCATCCCACATGTATTGAAAGGTTTTGGTATGCCGTTATAATGCCCGCATATCTCCTTTATACATGTGGGGGATAGAAAATCGTCACACCTGTTATGGGATAGCGACTATATCTTATGGAGTAAGATATACCGCTTTCTCTAAAATTTTAGGACTATACTTACACCATTTGTGTGTATGTTTCTTTTATCAGTCCGATTTCCTTCTTCCATCTTTAATGCTGATGCGGTTACGGGTCGGAGTAGCGTGACCCATTCGTATTATGAGGGAATTCCGTTAATTGCATCATTTCCCCAGTTTAAATCTGATTATAGCGGAAGTGATAGAGAATTAATCCAGCGAGGTAGTTGTCGTGTTCTACGACGATTAATCACAGATGCGACCTTGACTTCGGAGCAAGACTCGAATCAGTGTATAAGGAAGCCGGATTACTTGTTTGGTGATTCAGTGAAAGATCCAGAGGTTGCTTCCTGCAAGTCTGCGCAATGGTTGCATCAGAATGGATCCTCATTCTTATATCTGCCTTTTATCCCCCGAGATCATTCACTGTTAAAGTTCAGGAAC